TGGATATACAGACGTTGATTGGGCAGGATCACCCTCTGATAGACGTTCGACACCCGAATATTTTGTTTTAGTAGGAGGTAATTTGGTGTCGTGGAAAAGTAAGAAACAAAGTGTGGTTGCTCGATCTAGTGCAGAATCAGAATATCGAGCAATGGCGACAGCAACTTGTGAGCTAGTTTGGATCAAACAGTTGCTGGGAGAACTAAAATTTGGCAAAATTGATCAGATGGAACTTGTGTGTGATAATCAAGCGGCTCTTCATATCGCATCAAATCCAGTGTTTCATGAAAGGACTAAGCACATTGAGATTGACTGTCACTTTGTCAGAGAAAAGATACTCTCGGGAGATATTGTTACAAAATTTGTGAAGTCAAATGATCAGCTTGCAGATATCTTCACCAAGTCCCTCACATGTCCTCGTATTAATTACATCTGTAACAAGCTAGGTACATATGATTTGTATGCACCAGCTTGAGGGGGAGTGTTAGAATAGAAATAAGTATTTCCTACTTAGAATAGGAATATGAATAGGAATAGGAATAGGAATCCTAGTTGGAAAAGGATTCCAATGTAGTGTCTATAAATAGGGTCTCAATGTAACTATTTAGAAATACAATTCAATAATATTTTTTCCTATATATTTCTCACAGGTACGAGATGCTGCTATTTACAGTAAGAATTTTCAGCAAGAATGGACTTGAGAGAGGTATGAAGTCAACAGCCATGGGAAAAAATCAACAAGCTTCAAATATGCTGGGGGAAGGAAGCGAAAAAGGCCAGAAAAATAACCTTACAGTTTTAAATTCCCTAGACAGAGTTGTGTGGACGTCGAAAATGGCACAGGTTTATGAGCAAAGGTGGTGGATCCATTATATCAGAATTCTTCAGTGCAGAATTTAGGAGTGCAGTACTTAGCACTATGAGTGCTTTGGACATGGTAATTCGTGGTGAGGGACATCATCGTCCAAAGCTTGAAGTGCAGAGTATGTGAATTCTCCTTAATCTTTCCC